TCTCTTGTAGTTCTTAGTTTTTCCACCACTTCTTTTAGTTCTGCCACCATGATGAATGAGATGAATGAGAGATTGCTTAGGATAAATTAATTATGAGGTCGTTCCCTTACTCTAAGGTATGTTAAGGCTTTAAAGCAAATGCGAGCGTACTGCAATTAACAGTAAAGCTTCTGCCCCTGGGGATCTCTACTTAGTTCCAGTATAATTAAAAACTCACTGATAACTCATTTTTCCATTTTGTAGTTTTTTAGATTACTTGGATTAATAAATTTGCTAAAAAAAAAAATCTAAATGTAAAAATATAAAAGTCCCACTAAACATTTGTTGTACACATATAGGTGTCAAAAAAGCCTCATAATTCTCTGCAAGTAAATGTTCTCATCTGCTAATAGAGTATCACAGGAACATCAAACAGCATCACAGAATCCTTCTGGGTGGTAGAGACCTGTGAGATCAAGTCCAGCCGTTCCCCTAGCACTGCCAGGTCCCCACTGACCCATGTCCCTCAGCACCACATCTCCACGGCTTGGGAACCCCTCCAGGGATGGGGACTCCACCACTGCCCTGGGCAGCCTGGCACAGCCCTGGACAATCCTCCAGGGGAAGAAATTGTTCCTCAGCTCCAACCAAAACCTCCCCTGGGGCAACTTCAGGCCATATTCTTTTGTCCTGTCCCTTGTTCCCTGGGAGGAGAGACCAACCCCCACCTGGCTCCAGCCTCCTGTCAGGGAGCTGTGGAGAGCCAGAAGGTCTCCCCTGAGCCTCCTTTGCTCCAGGCTCAGCACCCCCAGGTCCCTCAGCTGCTCCTCACCACATTCGGTCTCTAGACCCTTCCCCAGCTCTGTTGCCCTTCTCTGGCCATGCTCCAGCCCCTCAAGGTCCTTCTTGGAGTGAGTGGCTCAAAACTGACCCTAGGATTCGAGGTGTGGCCCCACCAGTGCCGAATCCAGGTGGATGATCCCTGCCCTAGCCCTGTTGGCCACATTCTATAGTACCAACAGTCTATTAAAACAGTTTATATTTTAGCTGGTACTTACTTTATCCAGGGCTATAAATGTAGCAACTCCAATTCCTTTGGCCTTTAAGAAATTCACACATTTTTGTGCAGTATCAATGGTATCGACAACAATGTTGTCTAAGGCGCCGCAGGACGACGAAATGGCCACATCATACTTCTCACTGATAGCTCCCAAATCTCCCTATGAATCGAGAGCCAGGGGGAGGCAGGAGGGCACAGATTAGCTTAGCATCAATGTTTTGTCTTGGTATTAAAAAATAGAGGACAAAAGGTTGACACAAAATGACATTTAAAGCAAATTACAAAATCATCTTCTGTGAAAGAACTTAAACCTTAATTAGAATTTGCAAAATAATGCTACATCTGTCTGCTGCTGCCTACTGCTGTTTGTGTATTTTTAACGTGCTTGTTCCCACAGCAGAAACTCATCTGCCTGGAGCTCCCAAAGGGGTGCTGCTGGCACAGCAACGTCGTAACACCAATTTATTTTCTGTAGACCAAGATGAACTTCTCTCCTGCAGCATTTCAGGAAACTGTTTTTTCAGTTTATTTAAGCAGAGATACTTCTCTTTGGACAAACAAGTGGGGAAAAAGAAAACTGCAGAACACAAACCGAGCACTTTTACATTTGCTATGATAAGAACTGTTTGGTGCTAGTAAAAAAATAAAGAGAAGAAATGAAGAACTCTATGTTCTGAAAATCTGCACCTGAAGTAAAATCAACAGTACTTGGAAAGAACTGATAACACTCAACATGTTTTCCTTGCTCTTCTGAAACAACCACACTGCTCTTTTTGATTCGACGTGGATGCAAGTAAAACAAGAGTCAACAAATAACAAGGAGATCCCCAAATTTTATACCTTTTGAAGCAAAATAAAGAGTTGCAACTCTGCTGTCCAAATTCCTACCACCAGGGAAGTGGGGAATTCCACTTTTCACTCAGCTTCAGAAACATCACCCTGTTCCTGTGATGATTAAGAGTAAAATAGCCTTTTAAAATTTACCAGCCTTCCATAGAGTCCAGGAATGTTTCCACACTTCTTCTGCTGCAGCAGAGCCTCCAGCACTCTTCCTCGATTGCGACTGAGTGCCAACGAGCTTTTGGCTTCTTCTACTTTTTGACGCAGATTTCGAACGAGATTCTTAGTACCCAGTTCTTCTCTGCCCAGTTTCTCAAGCTGATTCTTTTTCTAATGGGTAGAAGACAGACAGTTAGAAGACAGGCTCATGGTAACAACTGAATTTGGAGAGTCTTAGAGACATGGTTCTATGGATGATGAACCCAGCCACTGAGAAGCAGCAGAAAACATTTATCAGAAGAGTGGCTGGCATTTGAACACACTTTGGCTAGTATTTAGTACACTTGGATACAAATAAGACAGCTTAGGAACTTGTGAATCAGGCTTAGGGTAAGGCAGTGGGACTAAGGCAGTGGGAGCAAGAAGTGAAATTCAAAGAAGCCTCAGAAACAACCATTTATTTCTTTTAACGTGTCTCATTATGATTGATTTCCTTGCAGGGATACATAGGATTTAACTCCAGTGCTAGCAAGTCTGAAATCAAATGCTTACATCACCAGTTAGCCAAGTATTAGAATACAGTTTAAAAATGTTATTTTGAGACAGTTTTTCATTTCTTTTCACCACAACTGTTGCGAAAAAGAAGAGTGGAACTTTGGCTTGTGCGTCACAACATTGTGTTGCAACAAAAGAAGTTATGTATGAAAGTCAAGTCTCACCTCCTTCAATTCCTGTTCAGCTTGGGGTAGTTTTATTTCTAGATCTTTAATAGCAGCTTTCCTTTCCTTAAGAGTTTCTGCCGTAGTCACCAGCACCTGCTTCGTCTCGTTCAACCGTGCCACTGCAGTGTTGTGAGGGCTGAGGTAGATTTCCAGCTCCGACTGGGCTATGTCCATCTTTGAACGTGCTTCATTCACCACTTTACTGAACTCCATCAGCTCTTTCTCTTTGCTCTGCAAAAATGGACAGCCATGGACAAATGGACAATTTGATGTCTGGATTTGATGATCTCGAAGGTCTCTTCCAACCTAAAGGATTCTATGATTCTAATTTCCACCCAAGCTTTGCATCTTTTTTCAACTTAAAGCTGGGAGGAGCCCTATCCATTGTGCTAAATTACAGATCATACAGAGAAACAATGTTTTCAAGTACAGAAAATAACTCCCCCAGATTTCCAGGATAATTTCCAGCTTCCAGGTGCTCAGTGAATGAACAGCTCATGCCAATTGGTCACTGTCAAACAATAACCAGCCAGTTGTCATTTCATTCAGAGACAGATCACAGATGTGAAAGGCTCAGAACAAACCATTTCAAAATCTGTTTATTTAACAACATATTGGCTTCATATTTAGAGGGGAGAAGATGAAAATGTCCAAATAATGGAATTGTAGAGTTCTCTGACACCCCTATATGTGAATGCTAGACTTGATGACACACGATCACTATAAAAAGCAGACAACTTAAGGAGAACGATTTAGCTCTGATTAAAAAATTCCAAACTCATTTCCCAGTTGAGCTCTACTGAGCTGACACAAGCAGTGCATTTATCATACAAAATAGCATTTTACGACTGTCTTGTGATGGTTTCATCCGTAAGAGCTGTACAGCAGCTCACACAGGAAGCGTGCAGAGTCAAGACAGTTCAAACCTCTTTTTCTTCCTGCAGGCCTCGCGTTTCCTCCCGAAGGTTGTCCATCACCTGCTGCAGCTTCTCTTCCTCCTTCTCTTTCGCCTTGCCCAGGAGTTCTATCTTAGACGTGGCTTCACTGATAGCTTTTTCACTATTGACAGGCACTTTTTCCAGTTCTTCTACCTGGGTGAGGGAAAAACTTTTAGCTTCCTCTCCCACCAAAACAAAACAGCAGCCTGATTTTTAAACCCCACCTTTCAAGTGCTAGCTGGAAGCATGAGCCCTGACGATGCTCATGTGTCTTCGTGGGCTAAGACAGACTGTGGCGCTAGCAGGAGGCTGGGATTTTATCTGCAAGGCTTGTTGGATTCTAGAGCCCACCCAGAGGGATGCAAGGCCATGGAGGTAAAAGAACACAGCTTTCTGCAGAACTCAAGTCTCTGAATCACAATAAGGCTTAATTCTTAAATACCTGCTTTCAGATGGCCACTCTTGATCCAAAGAGGGATTTGATTACAGAATACCAGGTTTGAAACGACCTCTAAGATCATCTGGTCCAACCTTTCTTGAGAAAGGCCTGGTCTAGCTAAGAAGGCCCAGCACTGTCAGCTGAGTCTTAGAAGTGCCCCATTTAAGATCTCTAACAGCTGGCAATGACCAGCTTGGTAAAGTATATCATTAAGTTAACTAGGGAAACTGCAAAGAAAACGTTTTGAAGAGTTAGTAATTGTGAGAACACACAACATTCTTGTAATCTCAGTAAAGATGACAGAAAAATGCTTTGCAAGCCCCCAGAGCTCCCAGCAGAGCAGGGAAGCAACGGGAAAGCTCTGGGCTTTGCAGCCCACACTACCTTTTCTTTGTCCTTTTGAAGTTGCTTCTCCAGTTTTTTAGCCTTGCTTTTGGTATGTTTTAGATTCTCTCTTACTTTAACATCCTGCAAGTCCAACTCAGTAAATTTTTCTTTATTTTCCTCTATGAACTTTGTAATTTTACCGATTTTCCTAAAGGGAAGAAAAGAATAATCTATTTCATACCCTATAAAATAATGTCAGTAGAGTTTAGCTTCATAAGTAAGCACACAGAATTTAAACAAATACTACTTGTTTTTTGTAAGAAACGACATCCAGTGTGTACTATACTCACAGTATTTTCCCCAGGGAAATGATATTCCATCAGAAAATGATCAACTAACAAAGCAGCATTAAACACATTTTCAGATTATTTTTTTCTGTGATAGAAACTATAATTCACATCTCTCACAAATAACTTTCTATGATCTCAGAGGATAAGAAGCTAAACATTGCAGCGGGATTGGAGATTAGCACCCAGACAAATCAATTTTAGGGGAACAATTTACAAGGAAACCATAAGGAAACCACAGAAGAATACCCAAAATCCATGTATTATGCCTGAGTATCTAAAAACCTCAATCTTCAAATTATTTTTTTGTACAGTCAAGTATGTGCTTTAAAAATCAGACATTTTCATATTGTAATAGTGAGTATTTCCTAGATTTCTCCAAGAGTAGTAACCTGCAGAACCAAATCAAATCAATGAGAATTTTTTCATTTAATTTTGATTTGATAAATGATTGGTTAATCCACGCCAAGGAATGTTTAGGTCTACTATAAATGAGTCTGCTCATTAGATAATTTAATATATTGCTGGAAGATCTACTGAAAACCCCATCTGTGCTTGCTGCGTTTGATCATCTTCCCATGCAGCTATTGAATATTCTGCTCTCTGAGGTGTTCCCCCTGCTATACAACTCCCATGGCTGCTTCTGAAACACCCCACATGCAGAACACAGAAACCACAGTCCTCTTAGCTTACAAATCTGTACCTCAAGTACTTACTTCTCAAGGTCTTTCAAAGCTTTATTCTTGGTTTTCATGTCATCTGCAAGTTTTCTACTCTTCTCATTAACCTCCTTTGTTTCTTCATTAATTTTTTCTTTCTGCATCACCATGTCGTTTATTCGTTTCTTTAGGTCATGGCTAGAAAAAAAACAAGCCACAAACCTCCCAAACACCACTTTTTTTTTCCCTAAAGCTGGCATTCATAATGAATATATATTTCCAATCTTAAATGTAACAAAGAGATTATGTAAAGTACTAAATTGTAATGATTGCTCTTGAGTACCCTCGCCAATATCATACAAATCAGCAAGGAAACCTAACAATTTTGACACTTCAGATGAAAATAAGTCTTTAAGTGGTCTCCTTTCTCAATTCAAGTATAAAGCTGTAAGAGATTCATTTGCCAGACTATTTAACTTTATATAAAGCTGGCAAGAAGGTTTTTCGGTCGATTTTTGTCACTGTTGATCCTTTTGGAGGGTTTTTCATTGTTGTTTTGGGTTTTTTTTAAAGGCTCTTGTGAAAATGGTCTCTTCTCTAAAATTTTTAACTTCATTATTTAAAATAAAAATCACTAACCACATGCTAGTCAATAAATTTTGAAGGACGGATAGGGCTGCTAAGAAATGCAAAGTATTTCTAATTAAGAGACAAGGAAGCACAGTTCAACCCCCCACCACCACATTAGAGCCAAATCAAAACTTCAGAGAATTACTTACATGTAGTATTGACAGATATGATTCTTCTCTTTAAATACTTTGTTTTCCAAGTGAAGAAATTCAATGGCTTTATTCTTGTCCCCTTCCAACGCATCCTTTTCTTTTTCTACCATTTTAACTCTATTTAACTTGATAAAACAGAGTCAGAGCTGACTTTTCTAGCAATGAAACACTGAAAGCTTGTATCTTTTATTTACAATTCAAACAAAACTCACCTTTTCTCCTCTCTGCTCATTTAGAATCTCTACCCTGCGACACAGAATTTGGATAGGATCTTTTAGCCTTGCAGATCCTATTAAGTCTTCCAAATATTCAAGCATGCCTTCGTCCTGTTCAGTCTGGCCTTTCGGTTTCATCATAGAGATGTGCTCAACTTCCCCCTTGGAAAAGAAAAGTTTGATGGTTTCTTGTCCTGATTTTTCTTTTTCTTTTTTCTAAGCGAAAGAATTAGAATTCTGAAGAAATACAAACATCTTTGTAATGTGGGTGTGTGACCATATTCTAGCATTATTAAAAAAAGAACAAAATAATGCAGTGACCCAAAGTGACTATTCACAGTGGCGATATATTTGGGAAAACAAAGACCACCAGGAACAGCAGCTTCCTCCGAGGAGCGCGTGCTGCCGATGTGCACGAGAAGCAGCATCTCTTCTGAAGCCAACATTTGGGTCTAAACATTGTTCCGTTTCTCTAAAGATTGAACATGTATTTTCCCAGCCTAAAAGAAGAGAATAAAGCAACACTCTGGGTCAGGTACCACCCCATGGTCTTAGGGCAGCTTAATCAGCATTGAAGTCCCTGAAGGGTTCTCTTTAGAACACAGAAGGTCCATAAAATCATGTCTGATGGATGAACTGGGCTGGTAATTCACACAACTATGGCTTCCTTATTGGAAAAAGAAAAACATTCTGTAAGTATGCAGCTTCCTTCATTTAATTTTCCTTTATGTGCAGCATGAACTTTAAATTATTAAGCTGAATAGTAACAATTTGCTTTTAAAAATGAGAATCAGAAAAGATTAAACTGAGACAATGGCAAGGAGACTGAGACAATGATGCTCTCATTAGCCAACAACAAAAAAAATCTTTTATGCCTACAACACAGTAGCACCAAATATTTCAAAATACAGATTATATTTTGTAGATTACATGGTCACATATCAGAAGTGCAGACATGAAATTGAATATACACATATTAAAACAGTATCTGGAGCAAGAATAGATATGACAGATGCTGCAAAAATCACATAAAGAGAACACTGAATAAAAACTATCTATCCTTCAAAAATTCGGCTAGTTCAGTACCTGACAAGAGACAAATTATTTGCGAGCCAAACAGCCAGCAGTGCAGAGCGCCAGCATTGGCCTTGGGGACCCATTTTTAAACACTTGAAATAACGAGCTGCATTGAAGGTTTTAATTCTGTTTTAGAAAAAGATTTACAAACATAATTTATACTCCAGTACCCAAGCTACGGATGTAAAATAAAAGCCTAAGTCTATATCCACAGAGTGAAAATCTAGTTAAGAATTCTGCTGCCATTGTTGGCTGCTTGTCAAGCCTGAGCTGACAGACGGGTCTCTGCAGGAGGATGGATGAGGAAGATCATCTCAAGAAGATACGGAAGGAGGGGTGGTTAATGAGCCTGCTGGAGAACCAGGACAGTCACAGGGGTTGAGGAAGAGGAGGATTTCTGGGCAACCTGCAAACCAGACCTGTAACCTGGTAAGGAACCCGAGGATCAGGTATGTTAGTAGAACTTTCTCCAAGTGGTTTCATTCCACATTCTCAGCACACAATGACACCTAGTGGCTCAAGGGCTTTCTGCTACTTGGTAAACACTGGCTGAGGAGAATGGAGAAAGTCTTGCAAATTTTGAAAATTAAGAATCAGTATTTATTAAGCTAAGTCTTTCTTGTCTGTAATTCCCTTGTTAGAGTAAAACACAGTGTAAGAGGGACTTTATTTTTTTTTTAAATTTTAGAAGTTAAATGCATCTAAGCGTTTATTTTCTGGTAATTTCTGTTCTTAAGTGTCAGCAGGCTTGACAAGACAAAAAAAACCCACCCAAACCAAAACAACCCAACTCTTATTTTTATTTCTTATGCTTCTCAAAACAGCAGACAATTACATCTCTAAGAACTGCAGCTGTATTATATACAATTCCAAGTACACATTTGCTCCCTTGCCACAAAAGTATGATTTCTCTACCAAAACCCACCTGTCAGTCAGCAGGATACTGCATGTGAACAGGAAACTGGGTGACCTCCTAAATTTCTGTGGAATTGTCCTAAGTCTGTATTTTAATTCTTCTGTTTACATCCAAGAAAAAACAACCACAGAAAACATATTTAATTCACGTGCTGAGCATCAAGTCTAAGAACTTTCTCCACTGCATGTATCTCCCTCAAGTTCACTGCTGCTGTCAACCTGATAGTCAGCAGTTTCCTAACTTTTTAACTGTGTGTATTACTACCTGACCCATCACTTGAGTTACATAAAACAAACCCAGCCCAACCTTGCTCGTTTATCTCTTAAAAAATCTTCTGAAACAGGGACAGCGTTTTCGAAAGTGAAACTAAGGCAGCAGCAGGCAGCCATTTGTTGCAAAGAAAACGTAATCACAGACCTGTAACACCTACAGTGAGGGGGTATCAGAAAGGGCCAGGAAACCTCTGTCATGATTTGCCTCCATTTTTACCTTCTTCTAGCTCCAAGGCATGAGAGGGGAGGGAGTAATGTGCCAAAAACCAAAAATTATTTAGTTGAGAAGACAATCAAAATGGCTGTCAAGACTAAGACATTGCTGACAGTGGCAGAGAGCTAAGGGATAGCACAACATCCACCAAAGTGAAGTCATCAGTGTAAGAAAAAGCATCAAATATCCACTGAGTATTTTGGGAAGGCTCTACATTAAGTGCAAGAATGGAACTACGGACTCAATTTCAGTCTCTGCATTGCCTGTGAAGTCTTCTTCATCAGGCTGAAACCTTCAAGGGCATGCTGGCAGAGCTCTGTAACAGGGGTAGGCAACTCAACACCATACAACAAACGTCCACCTAAACAACAGCTCCTACAGGACACCTCAGCTTAGTTCCCAGAAAGCAATTACTGGTACACTCTAATAGAGAACAAAAGTTTACCTGGGGAGAAATTTCTAACCCATAAAGTTAACTGACTGCTGTGGCAAATGAGACACCTTGGATTGACAGCAAGCTACAGAGTTGTAAAAAAGGGCAAGAGCCATTCTCATCTGAAAGCCATTCCTCTAGTGAGAACTGTGAGGAATAACTTCAAGAAACTTGGAAGCTGGAGATTCCACCTTCCTTTGCGGAGCTGAACTCTTGAGGAAGGGAATTCTTTCAACACACAAAGTTCAAGTTACTTTCTAAATTTAAATTTCTATTGTGTATGAGCAAAAACTTTAAAGCAAGTGAATTTTAAAAGCCTTCAAAAACCAGTGTAAGAATAGCTCGGAATAAAATTAACCATTTGAAATCAGTGGCTCAGCAGAGGGTCAGCAGAAGGACAGGTGAACAGCCCCACAAGACATGCTAGGCAGGAGTGCCTGGACTACTTGTGTGCAAACCCACAAGGATGCTGTAGGTAGATGCCCATAAAGATGTCTGATGAACTGCCAGAAGCAGTGACACCAGCACGTTCTATCACTGGTTTAATGTTCCAAGGCTGTGAAGTCAAGGGTCTACCTCCAGCTCCATGCCTTTCAGAAGTCACACCTGCACCCCCGGAGTATTTAAGAATGCTATACATTTAAAGTACATTAATAATGACTTCTATTATAGACAAACATCCATTATAGACGCAATTCATCAAGCTTCAGTGTCTACACTGCACGCACACATCTGGATTCGCTCGAGACTAAAGCTCTCATCAAGACCTGCACATCCAACCGTGCAGGCAGCTGTCCTCAGCAGCCACACGCCACGGCTGTGTCTGGCTTCCTAGGCCAAACTGGTGAAGAGCAACAATTTCACCTCCCATGTAGCTCTCAAAAGAAAACCCCATAACTATTACCTCATTCTTGAGAGTTACCACTGTTTTCTCTAAAATTACACATTCATTTGTAAAGCAGCTGATCCTCTCAAGACAGAGGGCTTTTGAGCGTTTTCCAGCATATAAAGATTGGAATTTTAAACAAGGTTATCAAACTGCTCGATAAGGCAAAGTTTTGACCTCCTCCTCGAAATGCAACTCTAACCACTCTAAGTCTTGAGGCAGGACTCTCCTTTTCACTTCTACAGGTAACTCCTGCCTGTTCTCTGGGCTGCCAGCAGCATCTTGTTCCAGCCACGCCCCTTTACATCGGGTGGGGTCTGTGGTCAGAAGCCCAAGCTCCAAAGCTGAGGAGGAGTCTGCATAGCATCATGCACTAACCCCCAAAATGATGTTTTCCAGCTTCAAATGGTGATAAATTGGTCGTTGGCAATTTGTGCTGTCTAACAGTGACCTCAAATCCCTTTACAAGAAAAGAATCTGTTTTTTTCTTTGGTTGCAAAAACTTGCCTGCACTATAAATTTTTTTTTTTTTTTTCTGGAAAACCTATATTTTGCTTACCAATCACTGCTTCTTTTCAGTCCTGAAAATTCTGGGGAAAAAATTAACTTTTGAAGGCAGTGCCTTGCAACACTGTGAGTTTTGTCAATTAAGCTTAATACAGCTTCTGCAGTTCTACCTTGCTAGCATTCCACAGAATAATTACAGCAGCAAGTAGGTAAAAAAACAATTTGCCAGGATTTTGGCTATTCAATTAATATGCAGTGTCTTAATCTGAAGCTTTAAAATGACGTGCTAAAAGCCTTGGGATAGATGAGCATGTACAACCTCACAAACTGGACTAACTTTAGGGCATTAAATCCTCCACATGAAGGACACTTTTGAAGCAGTTAAGCATGGGCATATTGAAACCCGTATTGTAAAAAGGGAATTTTGTAGCTGTGAATCCAACAGATGGAAATGTACCATGCACTGGGGGAGTACTGGGTGGTTTGGGTGGGTTTTGAGGGGAATTTTCTCTTGCAATTATTGTGGTTTAGGTTTTGGAGAGGTTTTTGGTACTGAAGCTCTCCAACACTAGTTAAATTCAAAGGCAGAGCAATGGAACATCTAAACTGAAATTTATACTCAGATTTACTCATGAGGAATAGCTGGAGAGAAAATACTGCCTAGAAGATGCAATATTATATACTGGAAAAACCTCCTCTGTGTTTCCACAAAGCTGAGAAAACCACTGAGGCATTACCTTGGAGAGCAAGACACCCTCTTTTGTCTTAGCTTCCCACTCCAGCTGTTCCAACTGGAACTAGAAATCTTGTGAACCCTTTGTGGCACTTCAGTGTGTTCTATCAACCAAATCCAGGCT